GACTAAAACGATCTCCTGTAAAAAACTCTAGCCCCCATCTTGCCCCAATTACTGAATTTGCCCTTGACCATGCTCAACATGGTCATAAAGAGACCGAGTTCCTTACTGCTCGCCTTTTGGCAATGGAGGAAGAAACCAAGATGCTAAAGGAGGCTTTGTCAAAGCGTAACAGTGAACTTCAGGCAGCAAGAAACGTGTGTGCTAAAACAGCGAGCAAGCTTCAGAGCATGGAAGCACAGGTACAAGCCCTAAATCATAAAAAGAACCCCATGAACACTGAGGTGTCCATGGAGGGTTCAATGAGCCAAAATACAAGTAGTAACCCACCAAGCTTGGCCTCCATGTCTGAGGATGGAATTGATGATGAAACTAGTTGTGCAGAGTCGTGGGCCTCTGCTTTGATCTCAGAGCTTTCCCAATTCAAGCGAGAGAAAGATATGGATAAGGGTAACAAAGAATTACAGATTGAACTCATGGATGACTTTCTAGAGATGGAGAAGCTCGCTTCCACCCAGGTTACTTCCGTTGAAAAGGAACTTCAAACTGAGACCGATCAAAATAACCCAAAACCCGATACCAATGACTGGTCCTTGTCCCAACTTCGAGAACGAATTGCCATGATCTTTGAATCCCGTGCTAATGGAACTGGCATGGAGAAGATTCTTGAGAATATCAGATGTGTTTTAAAGGAATTTCAGAACAATTTGCCTCGTCACAATTCAGGTGGTCTCTCAGATGGCAGTCTTTCGACTGATGCTGCTTCTCAAACCATTGGGGAGACTCTTGAGAATGGAAACTGTCCTCCTCTCTGTGATAGTAAGCCATGTACTAGAACTCTAGAATCAGAGTTCACTGATGCCATCTCTAAGATTCAAACATTTGTAGAATCACTAGGTAAAGAGGCGTCAAGAATATGGAAGGAGAGGCTTGATATTGTGAACGGATTGAGCAAAAGTATTGAGGATTTTTCTATCTCTGTTAATGAGGTTCTGTCTGGCAGAATGGATGTGAAGGAATTTATTTTTGATCTTTCTCATGTAATGGCTGAAGCTGGGGTATTTTTCTTTGAGATGCTCAATAAAATCAGCTTTAAAGGGGAAAGGAATGATGTAGCTGCAGGCAAGTTGGGGTCAAAAGAAGATAAGGTGGCTGAAATGGGTTTGTCAGGAGAGAGATGTTTAAGTGATTCTACCCTTTCATCTCAATCATGTTTGGGTTCTGGGGCTCTCCAAGAAAAAATGGTGGACAAACTACACAAGCATTTGGAGGGAGAAATTGAGCAATTGAAGTCAGAGAAGGACATCATGGCGAGGGATTTTGTTATGTGCAATGAGAATTTGGAGCACACTAAAGCCCAACTTGTGGAAACTGAGCAACTTCTCTCTGAACTTAAACTGGAGCTTGAATCTTGTCAGAATTCAAAGAGCCTTGTTGAGACGCAGCTGAAATGCATGGCAGAGTCTTATCGAACCCTAGAATTGCGTGCGAAAGAAGTGGAAGATGAAGTGAAACTTCTTAGAGAAAACGCAGAGGCTTTGAACTCTGAACTCCAGGAAGAGAAGAGGATATGCGAGGAAGCTGTCACAAAATGCATGGATCTTCAGGAGCAGATTCAGAGGTTAGCAAAAATAAAGCTTTTTTCTTGTTGATATTTTTGCGCTATGGAACACTTCAATTGGCATAATTTTATATTCTTTCAATTGTTCTCATAAATTCTTCTCAATCCGCATGTTGGTTTCCAGTTTTGTGAGTAAACTTTCATGGGAAAATATACTATACACCCGTGTCCATTCCCAAAGATGGATGGTAGAAGTTAATTATAGTTCCTAATTATGGATATTTGCCTGGGTACAGTATATCTCTACCATCCGTCATCAGGAACAAAGGGTGATGTCCTATGTACCACCTAGTGGTGTACCAAACTTTCACAGCTTTTGTTTCATAGCAATATACTGATGACTTTTTTATGATAATTTGGGTACTGATTCTGATATGTGATCTTCTGTTTATTTCTTTACCACTTGCAGGAATGAGGAGTGTGCAGTTTGCTCATCTTGTCCGACAGATCAATACGTCAAGGCCAAACAAGTAAAGATCGTGACTAGCTGCTCCTTTTCAGTCTTTTTCTATCTGTCTGTCCTTTCACTGAACATAAGGAGCACTAGTTTGGGATAGTGTCTTTTCAGTCCTTTCATGTTATTTATATAGTTTCTTGCATGGCAGTAAAATGAAACATTAATAAACAAATGCATATATGTAGGTCCTATCAAAGTTCAAACACCTAACAGAAAGGCCCACTTTCTATTCAAACTACTCTCAACCCTGGTCCCATCCTTCTTGTATAGCTGATGCCCGTTTTAAACTGCCCCACCATGCAAAATAATTTTGCTGAGTGTCCTACCATCTCCACTTTCAAAACCTTCATTTTTGTTCCAAAAGTTCTCTTTCCTTCCTCCTTACCTGAGCATGGCAGGGACCCTTGTCGTGCTCTTTGTATCCCTTTCTGAAATGCCTCTTCTGCCCTTGTAATTACCTCATTCTTAGTACATACTTTTTGTTGTCGCTTTTCTATGACACAATTGCCTTGCTTCGCTCTACTCACTCTAAGAAACCTCATTCTCCACCCTCCGTGACCATCCGAAAGTAACCGTCTATGGCTACAATCTCCAAAAATCTACACTCCTAAATCCCCAAATACTGATATCTTCCTGAAATTCCTTGATCAACCTTATTAATAATTGTTCTATCCTCACTACTTTGAATCCCTAGGCATGGTTTCGTCTCATCCCAATTTATGCCTTTTTAGATGGCCTTCTGGTTATCCGCACCATCTGTGTCTCACTACCATTTTTTGTCTTAACCTCCCTTTCTTTGCCATTGGTACCATGTTCCACTGCATTCTCTTGGAACTTCATGCTACAAATCTTTAGCAGTTTATGTGCACTGTCTAAAAATTATGTAACAATCTGGCTCAATGCAGGAAAAAGAGATAGCAGCTGCAGCTGAGAAGCTTGCCGAATGCCAGGAAACAATATTTCTTCTTGGAAGGCAGCTGAAGGCCCTGAGATCCTCTCCAAATGAGCTAACAGGTTCTCCATTCTCTGAAAACGAGCACCATAGTCAGAACGTAATGGAGCAAGATTCTGTAGATTTGACACAGGTGGCGATGGAAGATACTCCATCCGATGTACCTAGGATTGAGTTTGTGTCACGCTTGGACCCTTACACCATCCCCCAATTTTCATCAGATACTGAAGCAAGCCCTCTTTCAAGATCTCCCATAAACCCAAAGCGCCCAAAACACAGGCCTACTCGGTCTTCTTCCTCTTCCTCCTCTTCAGTACCAACCCCTGAGAAAAACACACGAGGTTTCAGTAGATTCTTCTCAAGAGGGAAGGTTAACCATTAGAATATATACAACAAAATTGTGGAAGAGGCCATTGTGAAAAGAGTGGCTCAGATGATAAAAACTGAAAGTAAGTTGTCAGAGGAGTGGTTTTCAGGTTTTATGAAGATGGGTTGTCTGCTAGCTATTTTGTGGAGCATCCTTTCCGATTTAATGGAGCACCTCTACGAGAATGCTTTGTAGCAAATATAGACAATTTCTGAGTATTTTGAGGACTATAATGCCAGGAATAAAAAAACAAACAAGTCCTTTACTAGATTGTTCATGAGGCTTTGATCTAGGAACCAAAAGTACTTTTGTACCTAGTTGAAAGGGATGATATCAGCTGTCAAGAGAGGGAGTTATTGGAGGAATCAGATGGTGTTAAAATTCAGATGGGAGAAGGGAAAATGTGATTGATCTACTACAAGTGCTTCCTTTTGTGCATGTTATGGATGCAAAACCAGATATGTACATTACCTAGAGATACTTGAGGTCTATATAAGCTATGGTGACTGACGTTTCTTAGCTACTTCCTATTACAGAGCTGCCATGTTCTCCTGTCCCCATGATTGGCTCCATCCCTGGTATATAATTGGTTCCACATTTGACTTTTGCTCGTGTATGTAGATATTTAGATGTGTTCTTTCTGTCTTTTTTTGATAATTATAGATGGGTTCTTTTCTTGAAAGCATCTAGTCAATCTACACATCTTATTGCTTTGTGACATGAAAGTGTAAATCTGGATCATTAGAGAAGAGATCCCTTAATGACTTTCTTTTCCCCTGAAAATTCAATTTCATTTGTTGGTGCTTTTTTACTAATTACTTCTGTGTCACTGTCAAAAACTGATACAAAATATAAATATATTTGTCTGTTGATTTCATTTGTATCTCGGAGTGGCATTTTAGTGGAATGTCCGAGGTCTATTTACTTCTGGTGGGTCAAAGTGTTGTTGCTACAAATTGGTCAAGTGATCTTTTATGATGCATGACATTTAAATCAAAGTAAATTTACTGTCTCTTTTCGTTTTGTGTAATTTGAGTGTTCTCAAGTAGAAAAACCTTTCCAAAGAAAACCCCATGTACTTAAACATAGGACTGGCTTCACTATACTACTGCAGTTGTACCCGGGGAGAAATTCCATCATTTTTATGGATTGAAAGCATAAAAGCTCTCCAAGATACATACAAATTCATTTTCATCACTTGATAATGGATTTGTAGCGTTTGAAAAGCTCTAATATTGGCGAAAATATACAATCCATTTCAGAAGTTAATATGCCAGTCAATATTTGCATTTTTAGTCCTCGAATTCCTTTTCTCTTATGCAAATTGTTTTTAGACGACTAGAGGATGGATTTCAACATTTTGGATTCTCTCTCCCAAATAATTGACAATTACGGTGCGGTCATGGTCTTGAGCTTCATCTGCAATTGTAAAAAAAACTCTTTGGCATGTTAGATCACTGATACAGTCTCGCATAACCCAAGATAAGAAAAGACCGCAGCAATAATATCTCAAATTAAGCGTGGGTATCAATAACGGGAAGCAGCAGGGCTTTTGAAGCCATCTGCGCTGTAGCACTTATTTGATAATGCAGCATGCCACACTAGTTTGGAAGCTACAAGCGGCTTCCAAAATAGTGTAAAGAAAGAGAAGCAACCACTTCCATGCTCCCCTTTGGAAGCCACCACTTTCGAAGCTCCCAAAGATGCGGCTTCCACCAATCAAAAAGTGCCATGAAACACATTGCCATGCAGCTTAGGTTCGACTGTGTTTGGTATGCGGCTACAAAGCCATGTGTGTCCGACAACAACTGGAGGCACTAGATGTGCTGATGCCATGCATGTCAGCACAACTTGTGCCACCCGGTTTTATCAAATTTCACAGCGGATTGTGGCCGCTTGCTACCACTGCTGCATGAAAACATTTTCTCCAATAAATTTTTTAGTTTTGAATGTTACATCTATCCCAATAATGATGATTGTGATTATCCTAGCCATTAAGAGAAACTTATGTTATGTTAAGTTAGTCCATAATAGCTATTGCTTTTCATTCAATGATCCAGAATTGATACTTCTTTAATGCAGGTGGAAGACAAGAAGGTATTTGATCATAAGAAAGTATTCTTTAAATGGCAAATTTTAAGAATCACTCAGGAACCGTGGATGAAGTAATAGGAACTCTCAACTACAAGTCTGTACGAGCAGGGTGGACTCTCTAAATATGAGAAACAATGCACATATGAATATAATCTGACTTCCATAAATTAATAAAGAAAAAAGTTTTTATAATGTGGAAGTAATATGCATTTTAAAAATCCACTCAAAAAGGTTGTTTCGAGGTTGAAAAGCCCTACAAATGATCATTTCGGTCTTGAGTTGTTCGAACATGGGAAAAGAAAAAAAAAGGATTTTAAGTTTGGATATGCTCAATCTACAAAATATTTGAATCTTTGAATTTTATAATTAGCTGTAAAAATAGATTTTTTGGCCGTTAGGTTTACGATACCAAAACATCTTTTTAGGAAAATCTAGAAGTGTGCCTTATTTTGATTGTTTAAGGTTGACACCTTATACAAACCAAATTCATAAATAAATAAAGGATAACGTTGGCATGAGGCCCCTGCCTCATGCAAACACCTTGAGGCCTACCCCTTAGATTTCCACTTTTTAAATGGATTGAAACCCAATAATCGTTCCAAACCCTTGCAAACCATATAAAATGGATTTGGGGCTACTTCTTTGATCTTTAATCCATTGAATGGGCCACAATGCCCAAATGGACTTTCCACAATGCCCGTTAAGATGGCATTTTAAGGGCGCATATTTAAGGGATTTGATTCTGCAGATTTTTGGGTCCTCGATCACTCAAAATAAATAGAAATAAGGGCCAGCATCCATTAAGGATCAAAAGAACAATAACATGAAAAGACAAATAACAAGAAAAGCACGAAAAAAGGACATGGGGTTGGGTCCCGATTAAATGGGGTTTTTTTTTTTTATAATGGTTTTTGGATATTAGTGGTATTAATATGGAGGAAATTTATAAGAGAATGGACCTGTGCGATATAATATTGGGACTGTATATTATGTGATCATTTATCATTATTACAAAGAGGTCACAATCACTCCTAGACATTAAATGTAAAATTAGATGGCATGGGGTATGTCATAAATTTCGAGAAATTTCTTTTTAAGCTTTTAGTCTAATTAATAAAACATTTATAATCACCTGATTTAAGATGTGATGGATAAGAGTAATTGTGTCCTTCTCGTACCAAAAGTAAATGATCTCTTAATATACTTTTCCTACAATATTGATCAAAGGTCCTCACTACAAGTATCTTGCTATCTTTCTTTATAGGAAAATTTTATATAAGGGTGAGGCCCTAAACAATTAATTTAAGGCACACCTCAAACATTTGCTAGCCTAAAAAATTACTAGAAGATGTTGTTTGAGTGCCCAAAAATCTTTGAATCGATCATTTTGACCTCAAGATGTATGGACATGAGAAAAAATAGATTTCTAGTATTAGAAATAGTTCATCTTGTAATGCATTTTCTAGACTGCCAATTTTCAGGATTTTCAAATGTTCATAGATACAATCGATCTACACTATTTTTGAAGCTTTAAATTTGGGTGAGGTTTGTGTAAAGTGCCCGCCGTAGACTATAGAAGTATGATGCACTCCCAAATTTTATTTGGAGATGTCGTTCTAGTGACGCAAACACTATGATGCTTTGCAAATCTATTTTTATTGTTCGTTATAAAATTTAAAATTCAAAAAGGGGTACAAATCAAGCATATCTATAAACACTTGAAAATTTTTAAAATAGATAGTCTAGATAATTTTTTACAAGATGTAGTATTTTTAGGAGTTGAATTTCTTTTCTCCTTTTTATCCATACATCTTGATGTTGAGATGATCAAATTGGAGGCTTTTCCAATATTTGAATACTCTCTTCTAGATGATTTTTAAGGTGCACCTTATTTAAATTGTATAAAGTTGGCACCTTATATAAACTTTTTCCTTTAAATTTTATAGTTAGAGATAAAAAAATAAATTTTCAGGCCATCACAAAGATTTCCAGAAACACCACCTTTCAACATTGTTTGAAGGTGCGCCTTATTTTGATTATTTAGGGGCCGAGCCTTGTACAAACCACTCCCTTCTTTATAAATTTAGACCTCACTTCATATGCTTTATCTTACTCGAGGTCACCCAGAATTTGTATTGCTCCTCATATTTTTAGTCTCTCTTTCATCTCTTAGGTTGATCTTTTCTTCTGGGATGCTAGTTCAGATTTCCATGTCATATACCTCAATGCCCCCAAGAGTATGCTGATGATTTTCCTTTGCTAATAAGTTTCTTTCTTGGGATCCAACTTAGAGAGTAGAGAAAATCTCAAGAACTTGTCCTCTAGGGTGATGTTATGGAATGTTGGAGAATTTGTATACTTGCATATAATTTGGTATTAAGTGCTTCCCAAATCAACCTAAGAAAAGGCTTTGACCTAATAAAAGGCTCTAAAGGAACGCACATAATGTGGATGCCATTATTAAGTTATTTCAAACTCAATTTTGATGGAAGCTCTTTTTGAAACTCTGGACCTACAAGTTTTTGGAGGGCAGATTCAAGACTACAAAAATAGTGCTTTTAAGTCTTTTTCAGATCCATGCGGTATAACAACAGTAAATGAGGCAAAAACTAGGGATATGCTTGAAGGTATGAAGTTATTAGCTGGAATGGATGGACACAAAATGGTGGAAGGTGATTCAAGAATGTTATTTTGTGGGTTAGAGGGGAGACTAAGCCCCCATGGAGATTGATGACCCTTTATGATGAAATTTATTCTATCATGTTCTCTGGCTTCTTTGAGCCTTATCATTGTAATAGAGTGACTGACTTTGAGACTGATTCTCTAGCGAAGGGTGGTGTTCACCGATCATCATTGGTGGTTATATCTTTAGTCTCTCTTGTAATTTTTGCTCTTTAATGAAATTGGTGGTTATATCTTTAGTCTCTCTTGTAATTTTTGCTCTTTAATGAAATTTGTGGTTAACAGTTCAAATAAATAAATAAATAAACAAATAAATAAATAAATAGATTCGTGATATTTGATTTTAACTGCATAGCAGGTGTGCCTATGAAAAGCCCATTTTTGCACTCTAAAACATGAGATTTTCACTTATGTCCTTGAGTGCAACTGTTTTGCTTTTGGACCCCTGTAATCAATTCTTGGGCACTTTTTGATGTGGCTTTCCCTATCTTTAGGCACTGATGAGAGTCTCCTTAAGTTCCCACCCAATGTTTAGGTACCTACATTCCTAGCCCCAAATCCACTATAATTTCATCCCAAAATGGGGTTGTATTTCAAGTGGATGATAAAATGCACAAGGGCATAAATGACCCAATGAAAGCATCAAATGAGCTTAAAAAGTAGAATTTAATGCAGACACTACCATGAAATTATGTTGTTCCAAAAGGTGCAAGCAATTCATCCATGTTTCAAAAAGTCCAACTATTTTAATATCAAAGAGGTACCACATATGCCTTGAGTGTAGTCAAAAGGTCGATCAAAATGTTTAGCCAAAAAGATAGGCCCAAACCCAAACCTCGACCTCTACAACAACCTCGTCCGGCTGGCCATACAAGGGCAGGTGTGTGTCCAAAGCACACACCCAAATTGAAAGTACTAAGGAAGCCTCAACTCTCTCTCTCTCTCTCTCTCTCTCTCTTGGAAGTATTTGACCGATGATGGGTTCGTAGGTGTATCGTA